ACTCCTCTCAGACATTGCTACTCGGGAGTGACCAATGCCCTTTTTTATTTTTTAAAAATTTTTCTAAGGGGTGCATGTGCTCACTAGAGAGAGAAGGGGGGGAATGAGATAGCACCCCTAGCGGGAGATGTCCACGCTGCAATCCCCTCTCCATTCTCTTGGGATTTTCATCATGCATGCACACACGCCTGGTGTGTTTTTCAAGGTGTGGGGTCTGGGTCTCAAACTGTGCAGTCAGCCATGTGGGATCCAACTGCCTTAACCACCATGCCACCTGCTGACCCCATACCGTCCTTTCATCTTTGCAGTATTCTGGGGACTGGGCTGCCTCTCCAGTCCCCAGTGGGACCCCGGGGCCGCTGTGGTGGGAGGTGGGTGTGGAGCAGCAACTGCAGGGTGGAAGGAGGTGGTGGGTATCTCAGGGGCTATGCCAGCCCCGGCACCGACAGCTGCTCTGGGCTGTTTGGAAGGGTCCTGCGGGAGCCTGCCTTCCACTGTCCTGGTTTTCCTTAAGCAGTTGGGAAACAGCAGAGCCCCCTTGGGTTTTAGATGTCCACGTGCCACTGGCAGCCTGGTTGGTTGTCTGTAGTGTGTTCCCCCAGAGTTCCAGATGCTGACCAAATGGCGGCACTGGGCCTCCCATGGCGCTCCAAAGGCCTTTGCTGTGTGCAGCGTTGCCCTCTTACTGATCCTTAGCACCCCCTAGCTCTCTCAGTGATAGGGCTTTGGCTGTCAGGGAGAACCAGGCATGAAGCTCCAAGGTGGTAGCAGAGGGAGACTCATAAGCCAGTCATTCTTATGTGGGAAGGAAACAGACACAGAGGCCCTGACTAGACACGTATCACCCGTGGGGTAGCCTCTCCTTAGGGTGGGGCGCCAGGCTTACTGAGCAGGAGGCTGGCACAGCAGCATGTGGCTAGGGTGCTGCTGCCCCCTGGTGTCAGCCAGTGGTGCCGCAGTCTCCGCCTTGAGGTGCTAACTGGCTCTTTCCTGTCTTGGCTTTTTCAGACCGTGAGTCCATCTTCTTCAACAGCCACAACGTGTCAAAGCCAGAGTCATCGTCAGTCCTGACTGAGGTACGTCCCTGCTCCACAGTGGCCTGGTGTGAAGCTGCCCTCACCAGGGCCTGGGTATGGGTTTGGCCGGGGGGGTCCCACCCAGCCTCCATGTGGGCTCAGCGGGAAGGACTTCTGCCCTGTGCCAGGGGCCCGGGAGGCTCTAATGACCTCTTGCTCTGCTCACTTTGGGCCCTCGTGGTGGTGGCTGTCACAGCTGGGCATGTGCACCTGAGCTGGGTGGAAGGTTACTCGGAGCGGAAGGTTTTCCAGCTCTTCCTGTGACCGTGAGGAGGAGCCCTTTCCCTGATTTAAACAGAGTGAGGCAGTGCCACCTCAGAGTCCCTCTCCCCCCTCTCTGCGTGGGGCCCTGTGTCTACTTCTGCAGCACGGGGTGACCCGCCCAGCCCCTGCTCTGCACCATGGGTGGTGGGCGTTGGGGCTGCCATTTGGTGTGGGTCAAGCTTGACCCCGCAGCAGCCTCGCAGGGGAGGGGCGGGAGTCCCTGTTCCCCGAGGAGGGGCCGAGGCTCAGAGAGTATCCTGATTTCTCCGGGCCCACAAGCTGCCCACACGGGTGGAGCTGGGATTTCACCTGATACGTCTGCCAGGAGTTTAAGACTCTGGTGATCCCTGAGCAGCTGTCCCCAGAGCGATGGTTAGAGTCACCCCGGGCATGCTGCCATTTTCCTCCTGCCACCAGCAAGCCGGTGTTCTTCACGGCCTTGTCACTGCCTCAGAACCTCTGCCAGCCCTGCTCCCCAGAGGTGGGATCCGTCTCAGTATTCTGGGAGGCTCCGCTTGTGTCCTCCCTGTCCGGAACCAGTGTCACCGACAGGAACCACAGCCGCCCCCAGCCTATGCGCTCCTGTTGGGGGCTTGACCCCAGCCCCGGGCAGCCTGTTGTTTCTGGATCCTGAGGGCCAGTGTGTGCTGAGGACTAGACAGTACGAGCGTGGGCAGGGCCCTGGGGACACCATCGTCACCCAGCATCGCTCAGGGTGGGCCAGTCGGGGGGCTTGGGAACCCTAGATTCTAGACAGAGCCTCTCAGTGCCTGGCCTTAGGTGTCACGGGATGTGGGCCAGTGCTCTGTGCCACCAAGATGTCCTTCTCCGCTGCAGTCTTCAGGGCTCCTCCCTGCAAGGCTGCTCGGAACGTCCCTCGGCCAGAGTGGCAGGGGGGTGTCATTCTGCAGCCACCCTAAGATGCTGTCCTGCCAGTGCCCTCATGTGGTGCAGGCCAGTGGTGCTGGGGCTGTTAACTGTTGCCAGGGACACTGAGGGCCATGAGCAGAGGGGCCCACCTCAAGTCATCTGCTGACCACTTGGGCTCAACTTCCTCATCTGTAAAATAGGACAGGGCCAGCCTAGAATGCTGCAGGGCCCTCCCTCTACCTCGGGTCTGCAGCTGTCCCCTCCCTCCCCTCGGACTGCCAGTCGGGAACCTACCATCCCTGACCACCTTTAAAAGCAGAAAGGGAAGTGTGGCCAGCACCACCTGTTCCCTTCGGGATGTCAGCTGGCCCTGGACACCCGCAGCAGGCCTTAGTGGTCAGTTTCTCGTCCCCCCCCACTACTCAGCCCACCTTGGGCTCCACCAGCCCCCATCTTAGCCTCCCTCGGGGACTCCCGCTCTGGCTTAAAGGCCTGGGTACCCTTCCCAGGCCAGACACTTGAACCTGCAGGCCCCCCAAGCACTTTGTTCCTTTAAAGAGCCAGTAATAGGGTGTCGGTTAGGGGCCTGGGCCTGCTGGGACCACCTGGAGCCAACCCCAGCTCGGCCAGTCACGCCTCTCTGACTTTGGTGTTCTCATCCAGCCCCACAGGGGTCCATGGGACTCAGTAATGACGTAAGGTGTCTGTAGGGGTACGGTGCAGGCTCAGTGTCACCGGTATTGGGGTGAGGGCCACCAGGGCAGCCCACAGGAACCCTCTGAACACCCCATCCCCTCCTCGTTTCTGGAGCATCATCGGATGTTGGTGTCAGGCCCAAGGCAGGATTTCCTTGCCTTTATCTTGTCTAGGATGGCTGTTTGGGTTTGGATAATCAAGCAGCTTCAGGAGGATTTCGGAGATCTTTAGCTGAGCTGGGAAATCGCTTCTGTAAACAGCGTGTCGTGAGGTTCAGCTGCAGCCCCCCTCCCGCCCCGCTGAGCCTTAAACACTGGAGCCTTTGCTCCTCACCAGAATCCGACAGAAGGTGGTTTTATTATCCCGAGTATTGGGGTGAGAAGACAGAAGGGCCCATAGCCAGGAATGGGCAGCCCCAGACCCACTGGGTCTCTCAGCTCCGTGAGGGCCCCAGCTGCCCCATTGTGCTGAACCTTATGTGAATGCAGAGGGTCCTGCAGCCAAGCCACCTCCACCCCTTCCTCCAGGGGAGAGGGCAAGGCATCGGGGTTGTGAGTGACAGGGGCCTGCCTGTCCTGTGGCATGGGGCCACTTTAACATCCTGTGCTGGCGACAGGCCATTCGCCTTGGTGACCAGAGCTCTGTCCCCAGCTCTCCTGACTCAGCGTCACTTTTTTTTTATTAATTGTGTTGAAATTCACATACATAAATTAACCATGTAAAAGAAACGATTCATTAGCAATTAGCACATTCCCAGTATTGCACTCCATACCTTCCTGGTTCCAGAACATTATCATCACCCACAAGAAAGTCCTGTACCCACTGGCACCCACTCCCCATTTTCTTCACCCCAGCCCCAGCCGGTGTGATTTCCACCTCTGGATATTTCGTGTAAGTGGAGTCATAGAACAGGTAGCTTTTTGTGGCTGGCCTTTATCATTTAGATGTGTTCAGTGTTCAGGGTTCAGGGTTCAGCCACGTTGTGACGTGTATCAGAAACTCATTCTGGTTTGTGACTGAACAGTACCCTATCATAGAGGTTTATCACCATTTTTGTCTTTTTTTGAGAGATTCTTGCTATAGGGCACATGTGCGTATCTCCACAGAGACAGAGAAAGTGAGAAATCACCCCTGGGGGGATGGTCACACTGTAATTCCTTCTCCTCTTGGGATTTTGGGCATGTGTGCACACGTGCCTGACATGATTTTCAAGCTACCAGGTCTAGGGCTGGAACCATGGTCGGCCACGTGGGAGTTCAGTGCCTTAACCACCACGCCACCTGCTGGCCCTGTCACTATTTATTTCTCAGTTTATCTTTTTTGTTTTATTAGAGTGCACAGACACTTGCCAGAGGGGGACAGAGTGATGGGGAAGTAAGACAGTATCCCCCCATGGACGGTGTCACCCCACAATCCCTTCTCCACATCTCCTTTCAGGATTTGGGGCACACACACATATGCCCACCATGTTCTTCAGGCTACCAGGTCTGGAACTCGAACCACACAGTCTGCCGTGTGAGATGCATCTGCCTTAACCACCATGCTGACCCCATTTTTCTTCATAGAGCTAGCGTGAGGCACAGAGAAAGAGAGAGGCAGATGCCATGCCATAGTCCCTTCTCCATTCTCTCAGGATTCGGGGCCTGCATGCATATGCACCCGGCATGTTTTCCAAGCCACTAGGTCCAGGACTTGAACCTCAGAGTCAGCCATGTGAGATCCCATGCCTTAACCATCTGGCCACCTGCTGGCCCACAGGGTTGGGTTTTAGAGCTGAAAAACTTGGGTCCAAATATAGCTTTCAAGCTGTGTGGCCCAGGACCAGCCCCCAACTCTTTCTGAGCCCATTTCCCTGGGTAAAATGCCTTCTGGGGGTGAGGAGTGCTAGAGGGGCAGTGGGTACGGCACACCAGCGTGGGCCGGGACAGTCCGCCTCCTGGCCAGAGGGATGAGGGGGCCTTGTTATCCTCACATGCCACGTGACATCACACCTTGCCCACCCACAACCTGCCTGCCTTCTGTGTCGGCAGCTGGACAAGATCGAGGGTGTGTTCGAGCGGCCGAGTGACGAGGTCATCCGCGAGCTCTCCCGGGCCCTGCGACAGGCGCTGGGCGTGTCACTCTTCGGGATCGACATCATCATCAACAACCAGACGGGGCAGCACGCCGTCATCGACATCAATGCCTTCCCAGGTGAGTGGCGGCCAGGGCGGCCATGCTGCTCAGCCCCGGGGTTCGTGGCCAGCCCATGTAGATTGGTGTCCTTGGTGATGGGGCCATTGAGTCGAGTTGGCCAGGATTTGCAAGCCAGCTGTTCCACTGCTCACAGCGGGCCTGGGGCAAGGGCAGCCCTGCCAGCTCAGCCCTGCCTGTGAAATGGGTTTGCAGGGTGCCAGGGAGGCAGGGCAGATCCAGGCCCAGAGGCTCTGTACATGGCGCACAGACCAGGGGCCCCGAGGCCCAGCGTGTGTGTCCTCCACCTCCCTCTCTTCCCTGTGCCACCAGCACTGGCCCTCGGGGGCCAGACCTGCCCCTCCCTTGGGCCCTTGAAGTCCCTGCTATGGGGTGAAGCACACTGCATCCACTGCTTGGGGTGGGCTCCAGACACTGCTCGGCAGGCAGGGACTGCGTGGCCTTGCAGCGAGCCCTCATCCCCGGGGAGCGGAGATCAGGGGCCCTGGTACCTGCTGGGGGCTTGGCACAGGCCTCTGCCCTGTGCTCCTGGAGCTGCCAGCCTGGCGAGTGTCACAGGAGGGCACAGGGGCCACTGCCTCCTGTCAGATACTGCATGTCCCAGCTGCCAGACTGGGTGCGGAGCTCAGGGAGGAGGCAGGGGACAGAGGGGCAGGGGTGAATCTGGCTCCTCTGTGAGATGGCGACAACGGAGCAGAGCCTGGAGAGAAGGAAAGGAGGAGCAGGGGACCCCAAGCACGGAGCGCCGAAGCCTGGGTGCAGCCGGCGGTAGGGTGGAGCAGGAGGCCAGGTGTGGTCGGGGAGGACTTGGCTCTGACTGGGTGTGAGGGGGACCAGCCGTCCGGGTCCGTGTTCATGTGCAGAAGGTCAGTCTATGGAGACAGTGGTATCTTCTCCTCCTGTCTCTCTGGGTACAGTGTGGACGGAGCCTCGGGCCCAGAAGATGGGATTGATGTGCAAACAAGAGGGGCAGGGGGAGCGAGGACTGAGGGTACATCAGAAGAGTGATCACAGCAATGAATCGGAGGGTCTACACCACAGAGGATGTGGGGTAGCCCAGCAGGAAGGTGGCAGGGCCAGCGGTTTGGAGCCCAGGGAGGTGGGGGGGCACTGCTGGAGTGGAAATTCTGGAGGAGGAAAGAGCGTAGGGAGAGCTGTGTAGCCGAGTGTGGTGGGCCTCCTGACACAAGCAGCCCCATGAGGGCCCAAGGTGATATGGGTGCAGAGAGGCAGGTTGGTCTCTGAGAGCTGGCCTGGACAAGGTGGCTCCTTTCAGGGAAGCCAAGAGAAGGGACACCCGGAGGGGAGAGGGGCGTGTAGGCATTGAGGTGGGCTGCAGCTGCCCGGAGGGCTGCAGCTGGAGATAGGCTTGGAGCACGATGCTACGGGAAGCCCAGTGGAGTGTGTCAGCCCAGGGACCCCCGCAGGGCGGAGGCAGGCCATAGTGGCTGGGAGACAGTCTGGCATGGAGCGCCCGTGGGCCAAGTGGAGGCTGGGCTCTGGGTCCTCCTGCGGCCCATAGGAAGTTCCCCAGGCCTGTGAATGCAGTGCCATCTGCCTCAGCTTGTCCTCTTGACGACTCCGTACTGCGTATGGAAAGGACTGTCCTGATCCTGCTCACCCTTGAGGATCTGAGGCTGGGACTTGAGAGCTGAGCCAGAACTGGGGCCCAGTAGTCTACCCCGAGCCTGTGCTCTAACAGCCAGGTTTCCTATTTCTCAGGACACCAGCCACGGGTTCAGGTCCTGCCTCTGCCTGTAGGCCTGTCATGGGACAAGGCACTAATTTTCAGCCTCGGCATTTACTTCTGTACAGAGAAGGTGGCGTGTACAGAATGCCTGGCATGGAGCTAAGCCCCTGCTGCCTCATGCCACAGCCCACCCTCCCCAGGCTACAGATAGGGCCTGGCCCCAGCCTTTGTTTACCTTCAGGCCTCCGAGGCGGCACCTCCCCTGCAGGCCCAGAAAGCACGGCCCAGGGGAAGACAGTGGAGTGGTTGCTTGGCAACAGCTTCCTCCTCCCCAATGTGGCCCTGTCCCCAGGGTGCCTCCCCTGATGCATCCCTACCCAGGAAACCAGAGAGCCTGAGTCTCGGTCTGCCCTGCCCTTCACCCCTTCACCCCCAGGTCAGTAGACACCCCACAGACCTTTGAGGGGACACTTCCACCACGCGGTGTTCAGGTGCACAACCAGGGGCCTGGCTCAGACCCCAGTTCTTCCACATCCGAACTTCATGACATTGGGCCCCTCTGAGCTTAGTGTCCTCATCTGTCAAATGGGGCTGCAGGGGTGTAGCAAGTGGAAGAACAGGACACTCCCTCCGGGTGGCCAGTGCTTCCTGAGTGCTCCACAAACGGCAGCCAGACGCCATCAGTCCGCACCGGCACATCTGACTGTCCTGCGTCTTTATCTGTAACGTGGGGGCAAGGCACCACGAAGGCTCAGTGGGGTGTCCTGTGGTGCTCGCAGTCGGACTTGGGAAGGCCCTGCGCCCAGCCGTCTAGCCGTTTCTTAGTTCAGGTGAAGCAGGGCTTCCCTGCCTTATTTTTTATTTTTTTTTTTGAGAGTTTTTTTGCTATAGGATGCATGCTCTCGCCAGAAAGACAGAGACATATAGCGAGAAATCACCCCCCAGGGGAGATGGCCACACCGCAAACCCTTCTGCTCCATTCTCCTCTCGGAATCTTGGGCACACATGCACACACACCCAGCGTGAGTTTAAGCCACCAGATCCGGGACTTGAACCGCGGTCAACTACATGGGAGTCCAGCGACATAGCCATTACGCTAAGGCCTCAGGCGTTCTAAAACCACAGCAGTTGTCAGTGAACAGGGAGGGTGGGTAAAGGCAGCCACCCCTGCTTGGCCCCTGGGTACAGCTCACAGAGCTTCCCTGTGGGGTCGCCCAGGCCCATGTCTGAACCTTCATCCCCACCCACCTCATCCAGTGCCTGGGAGTGTCTCCCGGAGGCCGCACTGGGTGTCAGGGGGTGTCAGTCAGCTCGCAGCACAGGGCCATCATGGTGGTCAAAGCACAGCAGGCCAGGCAGTGCCCGGATCCCCAGAGTTGGCGCTCTGGTCTCCTCGGGACATGCTTCCTGCCCTGGCCAGGCCTCGGAACTGTGTGCCAGCACTCACCCCTCCGGGCAGTCACCGGCAGCTGGAGAGCCTTCCTGTGTGAGTCTCTGCAGCAGTTCGTGGGGAGTCAGCCAGATTCTCTCCCCAGATTCTAAACCTGCCCAGGTGCTCCCACAACCCAGTCCACCCTGGCGTCCACGTTGGGCGATGTTCAGTTGGTTTACGCGCTGGAGATGCAGCCTTCCTGTCGTGTGCCTGGGCCCTGCTGGTGGTGCCCGCGGTCTCGGTGCCTTGGCTGTATCTTCAGAACACGGGCCACACACAGCCTTCCCACATGGATTTTGAGCTAAGGAGAGGACACAGGTCACATTGGCTGTTGGCCGGCCACCACCTGCATCCCAGCCCTCCTGGTGGGGCCCTGGTCTCAGTTATAGACGGGGGCCCGAGGGAGTTGGGGGTGGGGTTGTTACTCAGCGAATGAGGAGCAGGCCTTGGCACTGCCACCTGCTGCCCTGCCGG